TTCCGCCAACCTCCATTAGATATGATCGTGAATGCTTAATTCCAACCATCCTCTAACATATTGTTTGTCTAGAATACCTAATAAGAAAACACAAACACTAGACAAACAATAATAGGAATTATTTATAATCATCAAAATAAGATTAGAAGATGTAGGCTTATAACATGAGACCTAACAATGAGGACAAGACATTGTTGTTGTTGAGTTCCTTACCAGATGAGGAATATGAGACCTTTGTTCTTACCCTAATTAATGGGAAGACGTCCCTTTCATATAGTGAGATAACCACTGCTCTTATGAATTACCAACTAAGGAAGAAAGATAAGGAGTCTATAAGTGACATAATAGCAGCGACATTGATCGCAAGAGAGAAGAATCCAAACCGGAAGAATGTGAAGTCACAGTCTAGAGTAGAGCATTCTACAGTTGGCAAAGATCAGTGTGCTTGGTGTAAAGAGACCGGTCATTTTAGTGAATGGATGAAGAACAAGCAAAAGGGAAAGGGAAAATAACCATCATCAGAAGTAAACATCGTCATATTGGATGGTAATCTTTCTGACTCATCCATTTATTCACTTTCTATCAGTCCCATAGTTGACTATTCGGAGGAATCTGAGTGGATGTTGGATAGTGGTGTAACCTATTATGTGTTCCCTAAAAGAAAATGGTTCTCCAGTTTTAAGAAGCTGGATTATGGTGTTGTATACATGAGTGATAACTGTGCATGCCAGATCCTTAGGATAGGTAAAATTTGCATCAAGATGTTTGATGGGATGGTTAGAGAGTTATATGGAGTGAGATATGTTCCTTCTTTGAGGAAGAACTTGATCTCGATTGGAGCTTTAGTTGGAAAGGGTCTGAAAGTTCGTATTGAGGATATGGTTCTCGAGATTGTGGAAGACTCTTTGATTATGATGAAAGACGTCAGGAATAATAACATGTACTATTTGATTAGAAATACGTTGACAGGTGGAAAGCTGACGACTTCTATTGATTCGACTAGACTGCGACTTTTGAGACTTAGTCATTTCAGTATTGATTTGGAGAAAGGTGCATCGACCTGCACTTTGAAGTCCAGTGAACATTTTGATGTGAGAAAGAAGACCGATGTGAAATTTGGCACATCTATTCACCGAGCTAAGGGTCTTTTCGATGGAGTTCACGTGGGCATTTGGGGGCCTTCTAAGGAGGCATCATTGGGAGGTAATAGATATTTGGTTTCATTAGTTGATGACTGTTCTAGGCGTGTTTGGGTTGCAACCAAGTCTCGTTTGAGTGAAGTCCTAGTAGTCTAAACATGTTGAAGAAGTGTAAGAAAGACATAAGGATGAATGTACTTCATTCTGATTTTAGTTAGAAGTACATGAGGGGTCTGTTTCTGTATTCGTGCCGAGCTCAAGGCAATTGGAGACACTTCATTAGAGAGGAAATTTTAGGAAAACCAGATGGGGTGGCAAAGTTGGAGAACCGTGTCTTGCTGGAGAAGGATCAATGTTTGTGGTCAAGCAATGATTTGTAGAAGAGTTTCTGGACTGAGGCTTCGACATATTTGAGTCACCTTATTAAAGGGTTACCAACTGCTGTGATAGGAGGTAAAACTCAATTGGAAGTTTGGTCTGGGAATGTCACTTTTGATGAGGTTTTGATGAGGGAGCCAATTGACTCTCAGCAGGTGGAGAGTTTGGGACAGACTATAGATGTATCGTAGCGGGTGGAGAGTGATGCTACTTCATATTGGGTGGAGACTATTCCATATACTTCAGATCATTCTGTATTGATTGAGATTCCAGCTGGGGTGACACAGATTGGAGATTTTGTTGATGGTGATATAGATGATGAGTTTGAGGATCAGGAACTTGATGTTCAGGATCATGATTTGAATACAGCAGGTGTTATCAGTTGCAGATTTGTTAGTGCTGATGATCGAGATGTTGGTGAAGGATTGAAAATTCTTCTAGTTGATTGAGGTCGTTTGCGACCATTTTGGTGAACTACGTGAGGCTTGATTCCTTGGGAAAAATGATACGTAGGCAGTCAGTTTTTGATGCAGCCGATTTGATGGGTTGATACCGACGTGTTGGAGTTTGTTCGCATTCTCATTTGGGTTCCCGACTTGTTGTGAATTAAGTCCGTTATCGTGAATTATTTTACTTCGTACTGGACGCAACAAGTGGAGCATTTGGTTTGGTTGGTGTCAGCTCAGTTTTGGAAAAACTTTACCGAGGTGGAGAATTGTAGAAACGACAAACACATTGACGAGGTTCAGGAAATTTGAAGCTGGGAACATTTTGAGTGTTGTCCGGTCGACCGTGACGGTCGACCGTTGAGTTCGTCGCGGTCGACCGTAAACGTGCACAACATAAGGAAGATTTCGACATAGGTCACGGTCGACCGCCAAACCCTGTAGTCGATTTTATGTTTCTGTCTTTCTGGTCGGTCGACCGCGACGAACTCGGTGGTCGATCGCGAGTCGGGTCTGGGCTTGCTTTGGTTTCCTTCATTGTTTGGGATTTCTATTTAATATAAATAGAAACACAATTTTAGGGTTGCCGATCGTATTGATTGAGTTTTGCAGTAGCTTGAAGGAGAGTTTTGAGCACAGAAAAGAGAGTTCTTTCTGAGCAATTTGTTTGAGGGTTTTGTGTTTTGAGCACAGAAAAGAGAGTTCTTTCTGAGCAATTTGTTTGAGGGTTTTGTGAGAGATTTGAGAGTTTAGTTTGAGAGATTATTTGTGAGCTTTTGAGTGATCTTGTAATCTCTACTTTTGTACTCTCTTTCTTTATAGTGAAAACACATCCCCTTCTTGCCCCATGGACGTATACAATTTGCCGAACCACGTTAAACTTCTGTGTTTGAGTTTGTGTTATTATTAGTTGATTTGTGTGCCTTCTATCTCAGCAATTTTTGTGAATTCTCAGAACACGCGCAGTACTCCCAACAGATATACCGTACAAATTACTACATTTTATTATTATTTTCTATATTTTTATTCAAAGTCGTTAAAGCATACAGTGTATATTGAAACCAAATGCTTAAAAAAAATACCCTTTTGGCTTTTTCAAGACCGGTGATGCATAGTGAATGTGAGGGGGCGGTTCTTCCTTGGTGCACGTTAGCTGGCGAATTTTGCCTTGCTATATTGCACTCCCGCCTAGGAAAAAATGGCAAAGAAAAAGAGAAATTCAGGGAAAAAAATCTTTGGAATAGGATTAAGAGATTCAATTTCTGGTTTTCAATCTTCAGAAGATGCTAGAATAGAAGAAGATGATGAAATCTTAAGCCCTAAGATCATGGGATCGACAGGTCCTCTTAGAGAGAAGATGAAGAAATCTTTGAAGGAAATTCTCAGATCTGGAGATTTTTTGGTTGATCCTCATCAGCAGGTTGCTTCTCAGATGTCTGGATCTCAGTTTCTTCAAGCTAGAGCTCTTTCTTGCAACGAGGCGACTAATGGAGATCAAGAGAGTCACTCTCCGTTCTTGAATTCAGGTGCCAGCGGTTCTGGTAAGATTTCTTGGGCAGATAAAGTAGAATTTGAATCTTCTTATCAGCAATCAGTCATGATTTCACCTAAAGCTATTGATCCACAAAAAAGCCTTCAGAAAGAGAAATCTGTTCTTGATCCGACCAAATCTAAGAATTTGATTTCAGTCATTGAGTCTGTTTCTTCGGAATCACTTGATAAGAGTAAAATTGAAGTTAAAAGTTTGTTTACCGAGGAATCTAATAAATCTGAACCTGTTCAAAGCTCTGATAAGAAGAGCTGGTCAAGTCTATTTGTTGACAACAGAAAAACAGGCTGTGGATTGCCGTTGAAATTTTTACCTCCTGACACAAAAGATATTGTCTCTTTTAATGATGAGGAGTGGAATGAAGGAATTTCTATGTGGCAATTCTCCCTAGTTGGTCAGGTTCTTGGATTGAATGTCAGATTCAAGGCGATGGAGACTTATGTTAAGAAAGTTTGGGCTAATTCTGCCAATCCAGATGTTTTCCTTCTAAAACCTGGAATATTCTTATTCAAATTTAAAAACAAAGATGAGATGAGTGATATATTAGAAAAAGGCCCTTGGTTTTTTGGATCTAGACCACTTTCTTTAAAGCCTTGGTCAATTGGTGAGGACTATGAAAAAACAAATAGCTGTTTATACCCTGTTTGGATTCAGCTGCCTGCTTTGAAGCTTAACTTGTGGAATGCTAAAAGTATAAGTAAAATTGCAAGTGCTGTAGGTCGTCCAATCACCACAGATAAACTTACAGCTAATAAGCAAAGATTAGCTTATGCTAGGGTTCTTGTTGAAGTGGATATGCCTGCTTCTCTTCCAGATTTTATCATATTGAAGGGCCCAGATGGTAAACCTTTTAATCAAAAGATTTTATATGAGCTAAAGCCTAGATGGTGTAATCATTGCAAATTAGTGGGGCATGATACTTTGTTTTGCAAGAGAACTACATGAGTTCAGAGATGAGTTCCTAAAACTGTTAATTCTACTGCCCAGAATACTCAGAAGGCTTCTGTACAGGATTCTAGATTTAAGGAAAATTTTCCAAATATTCAAACAACATCTTCCATTGATCTTCCAAATAACTCAGTGCAGAATACGGTATTACAAAGGCCAGATGGAAATGCTTCCACTATAAACCTGTCAGTGCAAAAATCTCAGAATACTGAAATGCAAGAAAGGATTCAAAAGCAAATGAAAGAGAAAGAATTGTCTCCTATGATTTCTCATCATGATGAACAAGTAGTGCAAATAAGCAGAATTGAAAACATTCCTCAGTTCTCTGGCTTAAGGGGGGTGCACAGTCTGGTGCATGGTGCACATGCACAACAGACAGTTTCTGAAGGTACTTTTCATTCTCCCCAATCTAACAACTCTTGGTCTCTAGTTCAAGGTAATAAACAGAGGAAAAAAGCTTACTCCAGAGAATCAGTTCCTCCAACTTGAGTATTTTGATTTGGACCCCTCTACAGTGGATAGAGGGGGTGCTTTCAACTGATGAACCTATCTTTCTGGAATGTGAGGGGACTGAATAGACCCTCAAAGCAAAAAATTGTTAAGCACCACTTATGGCAATATCATGTCTCCTTTATTGCTTTACTGGAAACTAAGATCAGAGATTCCTTATTATCAAGTACTACCAGGTTTATTGCTAAAGACTGGAGCTGGCTGTCAAATGTTAGAAGTCCTGGTAAAGCTAGAATTGTTATCCTATGGAATCCTAATATATTAAATATACAATTGATCAGCTCTTCTGATCAATGTATCACATGCACAGTGAAATCTCTTGATGGTAAACTAGATTGTGTAATTTCATCTATCTATGGTTTCAATCAAATGGAAACAAGGAAAGAGTTGTGGTCTGAATTGAAGTCTATCCATCAAACTGTTGGAAATACTCCTTGGCTTTTATTTGGGGATTTTAATGCTATTATCAGCAATGAAGAGAAAATTGGAGGTAGTATCCTTCATGATTCTGAAACTGAGGATTTCAGAAACTTCATTAATGATTGTCAGCTGGATCATTTGAAAAACATTGGATGTTTTTATACTTGGAACAACAAACAGGATCATGGATCAAGGATTTGGAGTAGATTGGATAGAGTTTTGATGAATGATAAATGGATTCAAAATTACAATTCTAGCCAAGTGGAATTTTTATTACCAAAAATTTCAGATCATTCTCCTGGGCTCATCACAGTTAGTGAAGACAGTTATCAGGGCAAGAGACCTTTCAAATTTTTTAAGATGTGGACAAAACATGCTTGTTTCCTCCCTACAGTAGCAAATATCTGGCAGCAAAGGATCAAAGGATGTACCATGTTCTCAGTTTGCTCTAAATTGAAAACTTTGAAGATTGCTCTGAAGGATATAAATAAGAAATTTTTCTATAATATCAGTGAACAGGTTTATCATGCAAAGCAAGCTCTGGAGGATGTGCAGAAAAATTTACAAACTGATCCTATGTCTCCGGAGTTTATTAAACAGGAAAAGGTCTGTATATCTAAATACAATACCTTAATGGATTGTGAATTATCCTTCTACAAGCAAAAAGCAAGAACTGATTGGAGTATACAAGGTGACAGATGCACTGAACTGTTTCATTCAATGATAAAAGCTAATAGGCATCAAAACAGAGTTATGATTCTTTACAATAACTTGGGACAAAGACTAACAGAAGGAGATGATATTGTTAAGGAGTTTATCTCTCATTTTAAAAACCTGATGGGGACTGCTATGGATACTACTTCTCCAAATATCAATATTATTCACCCAGGACCATGTCTGGATGATTCTCAAGCTAGTTCTCTGATTGCCTCAATCACTAATGAGGAAATCAGAAATGCTATTTTTTCCATGCCAGATAATAAAGCACCTGGACCAGATGGCTACAATGCTACATTTTTCAAATCTTCATGGAGTATAGTTGGAGATGAAGTTACTCAAGCTATTGCGGATTTCTTCAGAACTGGCAAGTTGCTAGGTATGGTTAACTCAACTTCAATCTCTCTTATCCCTAAAATCAAAAGTCCTACTTCTCCTTCAGATTTTAGACCCATCTCTTATTGCAACGTTCTTTACAAAATCATATCTAAAATCCTAGCGAATAGGATTAGAACAATTATGGGTTCTATTGTAAATGATGCTCAAAGTGCATTTGTTGAGGGTAGGCAAATCACCAACAACATTTTACTGGCTCATGAATTGATCAAGAATTATGGCAGAAAATCAGTTTCTCCATGTTCGCGGGAAAAATCGTGTCTTTCTTCATTATTGATTCCATTGCTATCTTTAAATAACAACTTTTTGAGTTACAAAGATCCGGTCTTTTTATAAGATCCGGTTACAACGAAAATCAAAGAAAATAAAAGAAAAAATTACAACTTTCTCCTTGTTTGTCGAACAAATCGCGAGCTCCTGTTTTGCGGTCGCTCGCTTTGTGGGTTCTTCGCCTGCGCCGGGGTTAATCCGTGGACCACCGTGCGATCTAGATCCGGTCGGATCTATGCAGTACGACGGGTATTATTTCACCAAGGAAATAATAGCCGGGGGGGATTGGTTCACCAAGGAAACAATCGCCCAAATCTCGGGATCAAAGACCAAGCTTTGATCCGGAGTGTACCTACGTAGATCTGAGATCCGGTCCTCTCGAACTCTTGCCTTATTTGGCGTTGACGATCGCCGAGCACCAGATCTGGATGAGCAAGTCCTCGAAGTCCTAAATCATGAATCTTTTTTAGATCTGAGTCTTCAATCCAGCAGGGCTTCGCCTCCAAAAAATCTAACCTTTTGAAAATGAGCCTACAGCCCTCTATTTATAGGCATTGAAAGCGGATCTGGGCCCAGATCTGGGCCCAGATCCGAGCTGGCTCGGCCAGGTGGCTCGGCCAGGCCGAGACACTTGTGAGTGTCTCGGGTATTTTCAACATAACTTTCTCGTATGATCTCCAAATGACCTGATCCAAGATGCATTAGAAAGCTGACAAATAGATCTACAACTTTCATGTTTTGAGTTTCTTCAGATTCTAACGGGATCATGCACAAAATAGCTCCACAAGTTCCTAGACACCTTTGGGTGTCTCGGCCAGGTCCGAGACACCTCTGAGTGTCTCGGCGCTATTTTAGGCATAACTTCCTCATATCACCTCCAAATGACCTGATTCCAGATGGGTTGGAAAGGTGACAAAAATATCTACAACTTTCCTGTTTTGAGTTTCTTCATATTCTAACGGGATCATGGTCAAAACAGCTCTACAAGTTTCAAGACACCTTTGGGTGTCTCGGCCAGGTCCGAGACACCTCTGGGTGTCTCGGCGCTATTTTAGTCATAACTTCCTCATATGACCTCCAAATGACCTGATTCCAGATGGGTTGGAAAGTTAACAAAAATATCTACAACTTTCCTGTTTTGAGTTTCTTCAGATTCTAACGGGATCATGGTCAAAACAGCTCCACAAGTTCCAAGACACCTTTGGGTGTCTCGGCCAGGTCCGAGACACCTCTGGGTGTCTCGGCGCTATTTTAGTCATAACTTTCTCATATGACCTCCAAATGACTTGATTCTAGATGGGTTGGAAAGTTAACAAAAATATCTACAACTTTCCTGTTTTGAGTTTCTTCAGATTCTAACGGGATCATGGTCAAAACAGCTCCACAAGTTCCAAGACACCTTTGGGTGTCTCGGCCAGGTCCGAGACATTTTGTTTTGCATACTTGTCCATTTTCGCCATAACTTTTTCATCCGAACTCGGATTTAAGCGATTCAAAGTGCGTTGGAAAGACGATGAGGAGTTCTATAAGCTCCAATGATTAGATCATCTGTGGAATAAATGAGACACGAAGGGTATTTCGTCTTTTGTAAGTGACACGGGGCTCCCGATCTGTTCGTATCCTCATTATTCTGAAACTCCGTTGCTTCACATAGTTCGTCAACCCACTTCATGTGTTTGTCGATATTAATCAAGCTCCTGTGACTTAGATTATGACGTTCATCATCTTTTCTTAGCACTGAGCCGTTCGTAGGGACCTTTAGGCAGTTTTATACGCCTACACTCCAAGGGTTATGCTCAGCATAGATATCAAAAAAGCTTTTGATACTATCAGTTGGTCCTTTATAAAAGATATGTTACTGGGTCTGCAGTTTCCAAATAAAATGGTGGACTGGATAATGACCTGTATCACTATAAAAGATATGTTACTGGGTCTGCAGTTTCCAAATAAAATGGTGGACTGGATAATGACCTGTATCACTTCCCCATCTTATTCTATCTCCCTTAATGGCTCCCTACATGGGTATTTTAAAGGGAAAAGAGGCCTTAGGCAGGGGGATCCCCTTTCTCCCTACCTATTTATCCTTGGTATGGAGTATCTCTCAAGGAGCTTGGACCTGTTGAAAAATGATAGGCAATTCAATTTTCATCCAATGTGCAGAAAGCTCAAGATTTCCCATCTGGTCTTCGCTGATGATTTGTTATTATTTAGCAAGGGTGATCTGAATTCAGTCCTTAAGCTCAATCAGTGCTTGAAAGAATTTAGCTCTGTTACTGGTCTGGAACCAAACTCAGATAAATGTCATGTTTTCTTTGGTGGGGTACATGAAGCTACTAAAGTTTCTATTAAAGAATTATTGGGTATTGCTGAAGGTTCCTTGCCTATTAGATACTTGGGGATGCCTCTTGTATGCAAAAGATTATCATACTCAGATTGCAATCCTCTTCTTAATAAAATCAGCAATCAAATTCAGTTATGGTCAAAATCAAAAAATCTGTCATATGCGGGGAAATTACAAGTTATCAAAAGTGTTATCTTGGGTGTTCAAATATACTGGACTTCCTGTTACATCCTGCTTGTTTGTGTACTTCAGAAAATTGATGACATATGCAGAGACTTTCTTTGGGGAAGAACTGAGCACTCTCAAAAACCATCATTAATAGCTTGGGGAAAAATTTGTTGTGATAAGAAATCTGGAGGTCTAGGCATTTTTTCAGCTCGATTATGGAATCTTGCAGCTGCTTTGAAGAATATATGGTATATCCATTTGAATAAGGAACTCCTTTGGATCAAGTGGATCCATGGAAAATATTTGAAGAATGGAGACATATGGCTCGTCAATGCTAAATCTGGGGATTCCTGGCTTTGGAAACAGCTTATAAAATCCAGAGATAGAGCTGCTGTTTTAGTTGGAGGTATTGATATTTTGAAACAAGTCATTGGCTCTTGCTACAAAAATTCAAAAGTTAAAACCTCTGCCCTGTATGAAGCTTTATCTCCCACTGTTCCTCAAGTTCCATGGTTTAACACTGTATGGGAGAAAATGAAATACCCCAAGCACTCGTTTATTTGTTGGCTTGCTGTTCAGAATAGGCTATTGACACAAGACAGGTTATTGATGATGGGAATTATTCAATCAAATAGCTGCTGTTTATGTCTAGGTGCAGGTCCTGAAGATCGTGATCACCTATTTTTTGACTGTGTGTATTCTCAGAATGTATGGAACAGGGTTATGTGTTGGCTTAAGTTTAAATGGAGATCTTGTAGTTGGAGCTACCTATTGGATTGGTTCAACAATTGCTTAAGAGGCAGAGGATTCAAGAAGGGGATCAAGAGGATGGCTTTTTCGGTTACTCTTTACAAAATATGGTGTGAGAGAAATACTAGGATTTTCTCACAGACTTCAAAGGGGTTTGAATAGTTAGTAAATGAGATTAAGATGGACATATTGATCCCAGTCCTAAATAGTCCTATTCAATCTGAAAACAGGGATTGGATTAATTCTTTGTAGATATTGACTTGTTTTGTGGGGTTATCCCTAGGCTGTAAGTATTTTCATTGTTTTTAGATTTCTCAAATATGAGAATCTAGATGTACATAACTCTCATTTTGGTTTGAATGAAATAAAATTCTCATTGACCAAAAAAAAAAGAAAGACCGGTGATGCGTGAGCAATAGACGGATCTTTTGCCTGCAAACCCAATGTTTTATTTCCATATTTTTTAAAAAAAAATCTACCCGCTCCGGTCCAAAAAAGATTCATTTCTTATAAACCCAAAGTTTTTTCCCACTTATTTTTAGACCCACCCATTTTGAAGATTGCTCCTAGGCCCAAAATAACAACAACAAATTAATTTTAAACCCACTTTCTTTTGAGTACTACAACAAATTGTTGTATATATTTTGTTACAAGTTGTTTAATTTTTATTTTATGTCCTTGAGCATGTGATATGTATTGAATGAAATGTGCTAACTGTTATTTTTTGACTTTTTCCACTCAAATGTCGTGATATCGCGCGGGTCAAGTTTGCTGGCAACTATATGCAAACTAACGCATCCATGACAAATTGCCCTTGCAAAAATCCAAAAAGAACCCCTAAATTAACAAAACAATATAATTATACAACATCATCTAACACCACATCCATCTCCGATATATTTTACAAAACCCACACTCCATTTTCTCCCTTAATTATCCTCTCCATACATCTAACCAAACTAAAGAGCACAATACAACAGCTATAACATCAGAAACCCAGGTTAATTACATGCACAACATTTCCTCTACAATATGTTTATTTATCTATTCTTCTATACAAATGGGAGAATCCAAGATTCACTGTTTATGCTACAGTAAATACCACGGTAGAATTCACTGTAGCAAACATGATCTGGTGATACGTTCTTCAAAAAGTAAATGTAGCACACGAGAACACTATAGCAGAGGTGAGATACTGTAGCTGTTCAAAAAATAAAAAACGGGTAAAACCGGGATTACTGTAGCGAGAGAAAAAAAGGTGTTCACACTAGTTTAATTAACACCAAAACTCTCTCAATGACATCAAGCAGCCTCTTAGGAGAAGTAAGCTGGGGGAAGTGGCCATCACCCTCAACAATCTCAACCATCATCACCTCCCCCTTAATCTTGCTCTTCATATAATTTGCAACAGACACAGGAACGCAAATATCATTATCTCCTTGGACTATGGTGCATGGAATCTCTACTTCCCCTAAGATTTCTCTCCAATCAGATAGAAATATAGATTTTGCAACTGAGAGCGCAGTTTCCGGCCTCATGTTTAGAAAGCTAGCGCAAAATTTCTCTGTAGCTTCAGGGTTGGTGGCCCCCACGGCGACGGGAGCAAAATTCTTTGCCCACGTGGCAAAATTTGACTTGATGGAGGAAAGCATGCTTTCAATGTCCTTCTGTTCGAACCCCCCCTTGTAATCATCCGTGTTCAGGTACCTGGATAAGTTCCAAGAAAATTTTATTAATTACCACCACCACCTTAATTTATCCCAAAGTTTGAATCAGTTGCATGAATTCTATATATAGCTATGTATTCTTTCTTTTTTTTTTACTTCTATTAAGGCTTAATTACCTTATCCTTCCTAATGGTAAGTTCTCTTAGGTACGCACGTCTCTAGTTTTCTTACTCCGTCAATCAATCCTATAGCCTATTTTGATTGATTTCACATAGCGCAAACGAGTGTTGCGGTTAGAATATAAAAATATTGGTGTTCTCCCTAGAAATCACCTTAAAAATAGTATCATTTTACATAAACCGCCTTTCATTTTTAATGTATACATGGACCATCTTTAATGTGAGTTAAACAAGCACCTCTGAATCAAAAATTTTAACTAAAAAAACCCAAGAATACCCTTAAAACTCACATTAAAGACACATGTCTCGTTTGTTAATGTTTAAATCATGTTAGGATGTAAGTCGTGCACTACTCAAACAAAACGTGCATTTTTAAAGGTTGTTTCTATAAAAGGATCATATATATTTTTAAGGTGGTTCTAAAAAAAACTCTAAAAATATAACTCTCAACCCTCATCATAACTTTAGAATTTTGGTGTAATGATTCGAGAGACTTTAATATGATATTAGAGCAACTCAAATTTAAATTCCACAAGCCAGAAATTTAATGAAGATTTTATAAAAAAATTGATACCACTGTGTGAGATAGGTTTTAGCCCATGAATAGGGTGCTCAACCGGAGAGAACATGTTAGAATATAAAAATATAACTCTTAACACTTACCGTAATAACTCTAGAGTTTTCGTCTAATGGTTAGAGGAACTTTAAGAATTACGATGAACATATGACATTTACTAAGAGATAAGATAAGAAATGAGTGCCTTCATAAGAGCTTAAAGCGTACATACTATTGGAATTTAAAAAAAAAAAAAGAGAATTGACTAAGATGGTTTAGTCATATAGAACGATTATCTTCAATTGACCAAGCTCAAGATATCAAAGATGCACCAAAGGGGCATCATCGTTTGGATCGCTAGACTTTGTGATTTATATGTTGATCCAATGGTTGCATATTTAATGTTATGGACTAGATTCATGAGATATCTCTTCGTGCATGAGAGTTTGATTGGAATCAATCAAGAAATAAATAATAATATTAACTTAATAAAGGAGATAATGTTGGATTTAATCTAATAAATCTATTTGTGGGCACATATGATTAATCAATGTGTATTGCTATCTTTCAGGATAACCCACTAAAGTGATCAATTAAGTTGGGTTAATTTGGTATTTAAATAAGTCATGGGGTTATATGTGCAGATACCAGGTTGTAATTATAATTTATTGAGGGGTTAAATTACAAAAGTACAACATCTATAAATAAGGGGTTATGGTCCCTAACCTAGGGTTACATTCTAAAATTCTCTACACCCCCATCTAGCTAGAGAAATTCGGATTTAGAGAAACCCTAAGGTTAGAAGATCCAAAACTCATCTCAAGGTTCATCCATGGATTCAGGTATAAGCTTCCGCTCATTTATGATTCTTGTTAATCTCTTTGAATTAATCATGGCTATATGGTTTTAGATCTCAAGTTTTGATTTAGATCTAACAGATAATCCTTAATCTATTCCTTTATACAAATAGAAGGATCAGAGAATTCCTATTCATGCTACAATAATTTCAACAGTAAAATAATCACTGTAGTATGAACAGTGTAACACTGTAGCAATTTCAAAAAAGCGAGATACTGTAGCAATCCGAAGAACTTATGATTGCTTTTATGAACAATGACCCTTATTACTATAGCACACGCGAACACTGTAGCGCTTTTCAAAATGAGAGATGCTGTAACAATTCAAAAAACTTACTGTAGTATTTACGAAACATGATTGTTGTAGCATGAAAAAATTTATCATCGTGCTTTGCACGGACCGCACTAGTAGAATTGAATGACAGAATATGATTCATTTAGCTGACCCCGAAAATTTTGGTACGTACGACTTTGTTGTTGTTATAATTAGCAAATTGATTTTTGTCTTGACCACTAGAAGTTATCAATAGTTTTTCTAGTTTTATATGGGAACCTAAGCCATTAATTTTATCAGTACATTTAGGTACTTACCTAGGAGAAGCTGCAATGAGCACAAGATGACTAAAAAGTTCAGGCCTTCTAACAGAAGCAATGCAACCAACCATGGCAGCCACAGAATGACCCACGTAAACCACACCCTCCATCATCATCTCATCCAACAAAGATATGAGATCATCAGCAAAGTCATTAAGAGATGAATACTTCAATGAGTCAAAGATCTCTATTGAAGGATCAACAGCACTCGAGAAGCTCCAATCAAAGAGAAGAACTCTATTGCTTTGTGACAGGCTAGGGAGCACATAGTCCCACATTGATTGGCTACCTCCATAGCCATGGGAGAGAACAAGGGTTGTATCACCACTTCCTACTATCCTTGCATTCATGGTGGTAGTTTTTTAG